AAGAACTAGCAGCTCGTACTCATGATATGGAACTAAGTATGGCCATAAGTGGAGATCAAGAGCTACCTGTCTTTGAGCCTTACGACGAAGAAGAAGAAGAACAAGAAGGCAAGGATGGGGGCAAGTTTTCATCCGAGAATGAAACCGAAGAGTCTATGCATGTCAATATGCTCCTTGACACATGAGCCTAAACTACAAGTCGTAACGCCCCTTAACGCACGAGCCTAAACTACAAGTTATAATGCTCCTTGACGCATGAGCCTAAACTGCAAGTCGTAACGCTCCTTAACACACGAGCCTAAACTTCAACTTATAATGCTCCTCAATGCACGAGCCTAAACTGCATGTTGCAATGCTCCTCAATGCATGAGCCTAAACTGCAAGTTATAATGCTCCTCAACGCACGATTCTAAACTGCAAGTTATAATGCTCCTCAACGCACGATTCTAAACTGCAAGTTATAAGGCTTCTTGTCACATTAGCCTACATTGTATGTAACGAAACTCCCCAAATGTGAACTAAATTTTTAAGACATAAAGCTCTTCAAATTCGAGCAAAGTCTTCAAATCGCAAAGCTCTTCAAATTCGAGCAAAGGCTCAAGTCGAATGCTCTTCAAAGTCGAGCAAAGACTTCAAGTCGCAAAGCTTTTCAAATTCGAGTCAAACTTCAAGTTGCAAAGCTCTTCAACTTAGAGCTAAATCTTCAAGTCATGAAACTCTTACAATTTAAGCTAAATCTTCAAACTACTACGCTCCTGAATGCACGAGCCTAAACTGCATGTCATGAAACTCTTCAAATTCGAGCAAAATCTTCAAGTTATAAAACTCCTCAAAATACGAGCTTAAACTACAAGTCGCTAAGCTCCTTAACACAAGAGCATAAACTGTATGTTACTCCTAGACCGTAAGAGTATAAATTATGTATGGGCCAAAAAATGCCTGCTAGGTTGAAAACCTCGAAAGAGGCGGTCTAGACAAAATTTAGGATATTAAAAAAAAGAGTCTCGCTAAGTTGAAAACCTCTACAGAGGCGGCCTAGGAAAAATTTAGGACATTAAAAAAAAATTCACCCATTCTAAACTACTGTACGACTTGATCCTCTTTACGAGATACGTAGGCAGCTTAGAGTTTCATTCTAGGTATAGTCGTATAAGTTCAAAAGATACATATTACCCCAATCGTTGTCCAAATAAAGTATGGTGGAAGTAATTCATTCAACCAGCACTTGAAAATCGGCCTGAAATATCATTCTTCTGTTGAACCTTGGTCTCATATGATTTAGGGGGCAAGCCTCCATGGTAAACCAATGTCTTCAATGGGACAATTATAGTCTTTTAGGAGGCTACCAAGTATTTTTCTTGAAGTCTGGGGATTCACTGTGTCTTCATGTTTGCTAAATCTTTAAGTCCGCCGGTCTTCAAGTTCACTGGTCTTCAAGTTGAAATATTTAAGCCCTCTAAGTCTTCAAGTTGAAGTATTCAAGTCCGTCGGTCTTTAAGTTGAAGTCCTCAAATTCGCCGGTCTTAACTTGAATTAGTTAAGCCCTCCAAGTCATCAAGTTAAAGACTTCAAGTCTTCTAATTTTTCAAGTTGAAATTTAAAAGTCCACCGCTCTTCAGGTTTTTGTCGGTCTTCGAGTTGAAGTCTACCAAGTCTTCAAAGTTCGCCAAGTGTTCAAGTCGATGTCGTCATGTCCACCAAGTCTTCAAGTTGAAGGTTTCTAATTTTTTAATCTTAAGGTGGACATATTAGTCCCTTTGCACCTTAAGTTGGCCTATTCACGGGTTTGTCCTTAAAAGGAACTATTACACCTTAAGTTGGCCTCTTCACGGGTTTGTCCTTAAAAGGAACTATAATTTTTCAATCTTAAGGTGGACGTTTAAGTCCCTTTGCACCTTAAGTTGGCCTATTCACGGGTTTGTCCTTAAAAGGAACTATAATTTTTCAATCTTAAGGTGGACGTTTAAGTCCCTTTGCACCTTAAGTTGGCCTCTTTGTGGATTTGTCCTTCTATATAGAATGTGGATTTGTCCATCTATGATGTGGATTTATCCGTCTATATGGGGTAAGACGGATTTGTCCGCCTATATGATGATGTGGATTTGTCCGTCTATATGGTGATGTGAATTTGTCCGTCTATATGACGATGTGGATTTGTCCGTCTATATGGTGATGTAGATTTATCATCTATGTATTGTGATGTATTTGTCCTTCTATATGTTGCGAGGGATTTGTCCTTCTATATATTGTTGTGGATTTGTTCATTTATATGCCGTCATGGATTTATCCTACTATGGGACGTAATAGAGCTGCCCGTCAACTTGGCACTCGACGACTTTTCTCTTCTTGACCTACCAAAAAAAAAGGAACAAAAAAAAGGGCAAAAGAAAATGCACAGAAAGAAGAAGAAATTACCTGTGCGTTAATGTTTCCGAGTCCACAAAGCTACAAAGCTAGACTCAAATATCTTGCAAATACTACGAATTGATGCTCAACAAATACAAACGCATGAGTTTATATAGATCTTGTAAGGCGGCTATTTAGGGATATATTCCGATGTGGGACAAGCAACTAATTAATCCCCTAATCGAAATGGGTAATGAACGGCGGTTGCTCACGAAAATATCGATATGTATAAGATGGCGTAGAGTCCTCTTTTGCATAGGGTAAGGAAGTCTACGTGTTCTTCACTTCCAGGTTGCGATAAATTCAGCTATCCAAGAATTCAAATGGTGCAAGAAAAGAACTTGGTGCATCAAGAAGGGGCACGTGGTATCTCTACAAAGAACTGGCAGTTAAATTGATGTCATGTTAAATGGAAACAAAGATTCTAGTTATTAGAATAATTATTGCAGCAAAGAAATTCCATGTATTTTGGTCTACGTGGAAACTAATGGTCTTTTCCATAGTCATTATGAACCATCAATTGCAATATAATCATTTTTTCAATTCAAGGAAGAAGCAAGTCCAAACATGAATCGCATGGGTATCTTGTTTGATCAGATAAGATGAAAGACATCGACACCACCCTATGACAGAGAAGTGATAACTTTTTATTCTCGGTGCTTTGGTGATCACGTCCTAGAGAGCACTCAAGAAGACAAATACATGTAATCTCTGAGTACTTCAAGCCTAGTCGAATGGAGTGTGGCAAATTCATTCTCCTCACAGGTCTTGAAGTAGTGGCATTTGTAGGCATATAAATTTTATTGGAGTTAAATTCAATAAATAATATAGAGTATATTTTAAATATATTAGTCCAAATAAATATTTTGGGCTAATATAATTGGATTAATTATATAAGTCAAATATTATTGGGCTAGCCCATTTAATTGGGCTACAAATGATGAGCCCACCTCATTAGGTCCAAGATATCATCTTCCTAGAAGCCCAGTTTGGTGTCACATATCAAATGACGTGGCACGACAAGTTAAACGGAAAAGCCAATAGGATCATGCCACATGTCAAAATGACAAGGTATGCCAAGTCAAATTAAAAGGTCAATGAAATCACGCCACATGTGCAAGTGACATGTTCTGACCAATCAAATGTGGCCTTATCACGCTTCAATCTGATTGGTCGGAAAGAGTTTGTTCTCATCATAACTCTTCCCTTCCAATAGGGGTCTTCATAACTCAGAAAAGATACCAGAAGTTATAACAAGAAGCAAGAGAGAGCTCGTGGATCAAACGCAGCAAATTTCTTTACAAGTTTCAAGCCTCAAGCAATCAAGTTCAAGTTCAAGAAATCAAGTTCAAAATCAAGAACGAAAAACAGATCAAGGTTCAAGGAGTAAGAGTTCAAATCAAAGTTCGTGCTAGTTGAATCATTCGTGGCGATAAATATAGATTCAAGATCAAGCTCAAAGGCCCTTGAATTTATTTACTATTGGAAAGAAGAATCAGAGGATTCATAGAGATTGTACACTTAAACTATTTAAAATCAAATACTACGATTGTTGCAATATTTTCGGTCTCGATTATTTTCTTGATGCAAATTTATTGTCTACAGTTATATAATAATTTTATAGCACATAACACCTAAAAACCTTTTCGTAACTTTTTATGAGCACCAGGAATATGTGGATTTGAATCAGATGTTGTAGATGATATCTTCTCTTTTGCAAATAACATCATTGCTTCAAGAACCTCTAGAAAATATTTGTGAACCGTTTGCGAAGAATGTTGAAATCTTCTTTTCATAATCACAAAACGCTCATTATGACCTATAATGGTCAGAAATATTGCTATCTTTTCTTCGACAGAAATATGTTTGCTATCTATGAGCCATCTTTTATATCTAAAATGCTGATATAGCCGAACATATACATCACGGGACATGCACATCAGTTCTAAACACTGTCGACTAAAGCCGGACAACAATTCTTGTGTGTACTTTTCACCATATAAAGATGATGCTAAATCTTTATTTCTTTGGATATTCTTGAGTCTAAAATAATTTTTACACTAATACAAGCTCATCAACGCTAATACTCGATCCTCAATGTCCATGTCTAAACTGTTGTAACAAAGAGAATGCATAATACACAATAGTAAGTATAACATAGTATGTATTTGAAAAATATAAAAAGTTACATAATCACAATAAATTAATTAGTAATACCATACATATCAAACATACTTCAAACAAGACATTTAAAAAAGGTATATCACACATTAAAAATGTTCCACGAGCATAATATAATATTAAAAAATTAAATAAGCATAATAGATAATAGTTGGAAAAAACAAAGAAGGTTCCACATTATTAACGTCTAATTAATAATCTAGCTAATTAGCAAAATCAAAGAAGTCCTATTTTTTTTCCATGGCCTTAATCCAATTCTCTAATTTGTCGACCTCTGTAATGTTCATCCATGCTTTCCTGTAGCTGTCACCTTCATAAAGTATACTAACAATTGCACTGTATAATGGTTCTTCCCATCCAAGTTCTTCTAATTTTTCCCTACACTCTTCAACGTCAGACCCGCTATTTTTTTTTTAAACCAATAACTCTAATGCAATACTCATCTTCTCTTCAATGTCCAATTGAGACGATGCAGATTTTTTTTTTCCTAAAGGTTTCTTTTCAATTGGAACTGAAGACTGAGATGGATAATCAGTAGGAGCTCCATCGTTCTTATTACTAACTAGATCTTCGATGCTATCAAGTGTATCTACATCTATAGTAGTAGATACAAAAGAGACACCAGGGCGGGGATATGTACAGCTTGGACTCCAACCATGAATTTTTGTTACTGTAGAACCCTCAAAAAATTTTGTACAAAGATCTGGGAAGGATAAAGGCGAAGTCTTCATTGCCTTTGTTTTTGGATGAGCCTATAATAAAGAGATTTTTAATATGCACGTCAAACCTTTTTCTTTATAGAAAAAAAGAAAAGAAAAGTTAAATTACTAGATAATGAACTAACCTTTATGTACTCATCCCACTCACTATTTGACATTAGAATGGTATTGGTTGCTGGGTCATAAATATTGTCAGTCTTTTTGGATATTGGAAACCAAGCTTGATACTTTTCTTTTAGATAATCATAATGATTCTTCATCAGCTTTTGCGTGACGCTAAAGCCATGAGAAGTCTCCAAAACTAGTTTAACTTTGTTCCATGAATATGCCTTTAAACTACTTCCAAGTCTCTCGTTTATGAATGTTTCTTGAATACATTTTTCTAAAAAGGCTTCTACTACATCCATATTTTTCCAACTCACTCTTGTATTTTCAGTAGATTGTTCCATAGCTGAAATAATAAGTAATAATGATTATAGAATATGAAGTGATGAAGATAAAAGTAACAGAACTGAGACAATAAATAAAAGTAACAAAAAACAAAGGAAGAAGATGAAGCAGTATCACTTTTCTTCAAAAACAGATGGAAGAACTACTAACCCTGCACTTTACTAGTATTAAACCAATTGCAAAGAACTCTTTGACATTATTATATAATTTTTGGTGAAACAGAAATTTTATTCATCACCCAACACAATAAAAAGCTGTACAGAAGACAAAGTTGACCTCCCTCACCCAGAACAACATACAAAAGAGAAAATCACACCCCCAACACTATTATATATACATGTGTACAACTTGGGGTTTATAAACAAGTGCCCGCATTCAGCAGATTAATTAGTAGAAGCACCCATTTATGTCTCATGTTTTCTCATGACAAATGTATTATATACAAAACCTTATACACCAGCCTCCGCATGTCTTGGACTTCTTAAATCTCACTCGATGTCGCGACCCCAATTTTTCTCCGTAGAATGTTGTGCATAGTCTTTAAGACTAGGTAAGCCTAACAATTATGAAGAATAGCTGAATATAAAATTGAAACTCAAGTCTCAACATATAACATAAATCAAACTGCGATTCAAAATAGATACAACTCCCAAAACTCGGTAGAAATAAGTCACAAGCTTCTAAGAGAAAATACTAAGTGTCTCTATACATCAAAGTCTAAAGAGGATAAGGGAAAACAACATAGTAAGGATAGAGGGGGACTCCGAGGTCTGTGGACGCTGGCAGATATACCTTGAAGTCTCCATGCACGGTCAAGCTCACTGGTATCTGGTCTGATAGGAAGAACCTGGATCTGCACAAAACGATATGCAGAAGTGTAGTATGAGTACACCACAACGGTACCCAGTAAGTGCCAAGCCTAACCTCGGTAGAGTAGTGATGAGATCAGGTCAGGGCCCTACTGGTTTAAAAGAAAAGTAAGGCAGAAGATATAACAATATTTTGAAATGATCGAGAATTTAAAAAACGAGAAATTTCTGAAAATAACAGTACAACAAATAGAGATAAACAACAGGGGCGCTCTCGAGGTACCGCATCGTAGTCCCAAATGTAAATACGCAACAAGGGGATCTCCCGAGGTACCGCCTCGTAGTCCCAAAAGTAAATATATAATAGGGGGATCTCCTGAGGTATCGCCTCGTAATCCCAAAAGTAAATATGAATAACATGGGGATCTCCCGAGGTACTGTTTCGTAGTCCCAAAAGTAAATATGCACAATAGGGAGATCTCCCGAGGTACCGCCTCATAGTCCCAAAAGTAAATATGCAACTCATAAATTATGGAACAATAAATTTACAGCAAGGAATCCTATAGTTAAAGACCGAATACAATAAGCAAGGAAACAGGAAATTCAACTAAGCATGTTGCACAAATTTCAAGTAAAGGTTAAGACACGTAGACATGCGATACTAGACTAACATGACAGCTATACATGCTAAGGCAACTCAGTTAAGGAATTCAAAAGAAATCTACTCAGCAAGAACTGGAATTTCCACAATTAGCCCGTGTATGCACTCGTCACCTCGCGTACACGACGCTCACATATCACAAATTATTACAACAATACCAAATCCTAAGGGAATTTCCCCCACACAAGGTTAGACAAGTCACTTACCTCAAATCTCACTCAATCAATCGATAAGAATGCCTTTCCCTCAATTTTTCCGACTCCGAACGACCCAAATCTAGCCAAAAGCAATTACATACTATAAATACAACTACAAAAAATAAATTTAAATAATGAAACTATGACTTTAGCAAAGAATCAAAAAATCTCCCCAAACAGTCGGCCCCGGCCCACCTCTCGGAATCGGGTAAAGGTCAAAAAATACGAATACCCATTCGATATCGAGTTCACCCATACCAAAATTACACAAATCCGATACCTTGATTAAAATCTCAAAAATCGGCCCAAGGATCTTCCACTTTTCCCTCCAATTTCTCAACCCAAATCCTTAATTAAATGAAGAAATTAATGATAGATTAATGGATATTAATCAAAAATGAGCGTAAAATCCTTACCCAAATATTTTCTCTGAAAATCCCTCATATTTTCGCCTCAATCCGAGCTCTCTAAGTCCCAAAATAAAAATGAGATCAAACCCTAGTTTCCCCCCTTTTTCTGCGTAGTCAAACCGCATCTGCGGCCCAAGAATCGCTTCTGCGATGCCGCACCTGCGGAAAATTATCGCAGGTGCACAAAACACTTAAGTCCTGGACTTTCGCTTCTGCGGTCAAAGGCCCACATTTGCGGAACCGCTTATGCGGTACAAGGATCGCACCTGTGACCCAAAGCGCTTCTGCGCTCCTACCATCGCAGAAGCGAATGCGCTTCTGTGGAAAATGTTCCGCTTCTGCGACCACTGCAGGGCAAGGCCAACTCCGCACCTGCGACTCGAAGCTTGCTTATACGAGTCCGTACCTACGACCAATCCCACTGCAGGTGCGATGACACCAGAAACAACCCAGCATCAACTATTCCTCTAAGTCCAAAAAATGATCCAAAAATGATCTGAATCACACCGAGGCCCCCGGGACCTCAACCAAAAATACCAACAAGTCCTAAAGTATCATACAAACTTAGTCGAGCCTTTAAATTACATCAAACAATGCTAAAAACATGAATTGTGCATCGATTCAAGCTTAATGAACTTTAAAACTTCAAACTTCTACATCCGATGCCGAAACCTATCAAATCAAGTCCGATTGATCTCAACTTTTGTACACAAGTCATAATTAATATTACGGACCTACTCCAACTTCCGGAATCGGAATCCAACCCCAATATAAAAAATTTCACAACCGGTCGAACTTCTCAAAAATCATCCAATTTTCCAGCTTTTGCCAATTGATGCTAAAATGACCTACGGACCTCCAATTCAACATCCGAACTCGCTCCTAAGACAAAAATCACCCTACGAAGCTATTAGAACCGTTGAAACTCCATTTCGAAGTCGTCTTTACACAATTCAACTTACGGTCAATTCCTACGACTTAAACTTCCATTTTAGGGAATATGTGTCCCATTAGACTCCGAAACCAAAAACAAATCCTCCCGGCAAGTCGCGTAACCACAAAATAAAGTAGAGGGAGCAATAAATAGGGGCTCGAGGCTAACACTCTCAAAATAACCGGCCGGGTTGTTACACTAAAAAAATTTCTAAACTCTCATTGTCGAACTTGGATTAAGAACTTATTTTCTATTTTTTGAACTAGATAGATAAGTTGCTTAAAAACCTTTTCAAATTAAAAAAAGGTAGTTCTAAGAATCAAATACCTTAACCTCCATCACCCAAATTAGAAGATTAAAAATTTGATGTACACTCCTAATGCACTTCTCTAAGGCCAAGAACTACAGAAGTACAAATACTCAAATTCACCTTTAAGCATACTTAGCTTTCTACAAGTTCCAACTTATGTAAAACAATTTGATGTCATTATTTTACTTACCATTGTGCTTATGCAGACATTGCAATCGAGTATACTTGCGCTATAATAGTTACTGAAAGTCGCAACTTGCATCTTAAAACTGGTGCAAATACATTGCTATAAATAGGCTGCATTTCATCGTATAAAGTAGTTGACTTTAAAAGAGAAAAGAAGACCAAGCAAGAGTATTAATCAGAATAACATCGAAATTGTCATACTCATTATATTCAAAATTTATAAGCCTAATTTATAAAGTCAACTACCTGCAGCCTCAGAGCAAACTCATTTTTACAAGAGAGCAGAGGTAATTAATATTATGATGTGTGTTACAAGAGCAAGAATAACTCTTTAATTTGTTTAACAATCGATAGATAAACCTCGAAAGTTTTGTTGAACTTTTTTTTCATTGTAGAATGTATTATTCAAAAATACGACTTGAGATCTTGAAACTCATACAAGTATATTTTTACAAAATAATAGGCAAGACTTTTGCGAATTTCATAAAATAATAGCAAAATACTTTCTAAAGGTTAGAATCTTACATGTTTAAGAGAAAAAAGAACAGGATAGACGATGATAGATGGAGAGTGAGAGAGAGGCGTGAAACTTTATGGACAGAAGATGAAGAAGAACGCTTGGAATTTGCTAAAATATAGCCTTATTTGTCGAGGGAATAGTTGCGAAAATAACGTTTATCATTTTTTAAGAGTCTGATCGCCATTAGGACTTCGGTGTGGGTATGTTTCGGTAAGATGTATTTAGACCTATTAAGAGTTTTTAAAAGAGAAAAACCAAATAGACTTAATGGGCTGGATCTGAATAACTGGGGTTAAGATCTAAAAAATAAATGCACTTAATGGGCTAGATCTGAATGATTAAGTTTCAAACCTCCATTAAGTGAAAATAAATCAGGCCTAATACACACACACATTTACAGAGTAGTAGTTTTAATAAGCTAGACATAATGGACAACACCTTTGAATTCTGAGCAAAGAGACCAACGAAAACCTATGTAAAGACCTTATCTCGATGGGTGAAAACTGAAAAGCAGCAGGCATTACCATTCTCTTGGAATAGCATACATATCCAATGAATTGAAAAATAGAGATCTGTATGGGATAAAATTGGTTGATAACATATGGTAAAATGGTAATATGACACGTGGAACCGAAAATAGGCAAAGGACGAGTCGGGGAATAACCAATAATGATACAATAAGTGTGACCGGTACCGGATAGACTGCGAAAGGAGTGTAGTCGATGGGAGAAGCTCAAGGGTTTGCCATCAGGTAGCATTCAATGAGGGAATATTCACTAATATTAAATAAGCGACCGTTGCAGAGAACATCTGCATACATGGCCTGCCGTTAAATGTTCATCAATGACTCTTTTTTTTATCATTGAAGAGAAGCTTGATCCTAGGATCTTGTTTTCCTAGGTAAAGCAATAAATAGCAGGCTCAGCAGCC